TAGTGCTATGTCCATGGCTCAGCTTTATGTATTGGATGAAAGCTGAAAAAGTTTGAGAATACTAAAGTATGAAACAATTGCTTGGCTGAAACCGGGGTTGTGCATGATTTGAATATTTTGTGTGATGAAGATGGATCATAGCCAAACTATATGATTTTGTAGGGATAAGCTTTATTTGGCCATGTTATTTTGAGAAGACATAATTGCTTTGTTAGTATGCTTGAAGTATTATCTTTTTATGTCAATATTAAACTTTTGTGTTGAATCTTATTGATCTGAATATTCTTGCCACAATAGAGAAGATTACATTGATAAATATGTTAGGTAGCATTCCACATCAAAAATTCTGTTTTTGTCATTTACCTACTCGAGGATGAGCAGGAATTAAGCTTGGGATGCTGATACGTCTCCAACGTATCTATAATTTTTTATGTATTCATGCCGTGTTTATGATATTTTTACATGCTTTTGGTATGATTTGGTTAGAACTAACCCGGACTGACGCTGTTTTCAGCAGAACTACCGCGGTGTTGTTTTTGTGCAGAAATAAAAGTTCTCGGAATGCGCTGAAAATCAATCGAGATTTTTTTGGAAAATATAAAAAATACTGGAACAAAAAGTTATCGGAGAGGAGTTCCATGGGGCCCACGAGGGTGGAGGGCGCCCCCACCCTCCTGGGCGCGCCCCTGTGCCTCGTGGACTCCCAGTGGGTCCCCCTAACTTGTTCTCGATGCCAAACCCTACTATAAATACCCAAACTTCCAGAAAGAAACCTAGATCGGGAGTTCCGCTACCGCAAGCCTCTGTAGCCACCAAAAACCTCTCGAGAGCCTGTTCCGGCACCCCACCGGAGGCGGAATCCATCACCGGTGGCCATCTTCATCATCCCGACGATCTCCATGACGAGGAGGTAGTAGTTCACCCTCGGGGCTGAGGGTATGTACCAGTAGCTATGTGTTTGATCTCTCTCTCTCTCTCTCTCTCTCTCTCTCTCTCGTGTTCTTGATTTGGCATGATCTTGATGTACCGCAAGCTTTGGTATTATAGTTGGATCTTATAATGTTTCTCCCCCTTTGCCCTCTTGTAATGGATTGAGTTTTCTCTTTGAAGTTATCTTATCAGATTGAGTCTTTAAGGATTTGAGAACACTTGATGTATGTCTTGCATGTGCTTATCTGTGGTGACAATGGGATATCACGTGATCTACTAGATGTATGTTTTGGTGATCAACTTGCAGGTTCAGTGACCTTGTGAACTTATGCATAGGGGTTGGCACATGTTTTCGTCTTGACTCTCAGATAGAAACTTTGGGGCACTCTTTGAAGTTCTTTGTGTTGGTTGAATAGATGAATCTGAGATTGTGTGATGCATATCGTATAATCATATCCGCGGATACTTGAGGTGACATTGGAGTATCTAGGTGACATTAGGGTTTTGGTTGATGTGTGTTTTAAGGTGTTATTTTACTATGAACTCTAGGGCTGTTTGTGACACTTATAGGAATAGCCCAACGGATTGATCGGAAAGAATAACTTTGAGGTGATTTCTTACCCTACAATAATCTCTTCATTTGTTCTCCGCTATTAGTGACTTTGGAGTGACTCTTTGTTGCATGTTGAGGGATAGTTATATGATCCAATTATGTTATTATTGTTGAGAGAACTTGCACTAGTGAAAGTATGAACCTTAGGCCTTGTTTCCTACCATTGCAATACCGTTTACGCTGACTTTTATCGCTTGCTACCTTGCTGTTTTTATATTTTCAGATTACAAAAACCTATATCTACTATCCATATTGCACTTGTATCACCATCTCTTCGCCGAACTAGTGCACCTAAACAATTTACCAATATATTGGGTGTGTTGGGGACACAAGAGACTCTTTGTTATTTGGTTGCAGGGTTGTTTGAGAGAGACCATCTTCATCCTACGCCTCCCATAGATTGATAAACCTTAGGTCATCCACTTGAGGAAAATTTGCTACTGTCCTACAAACCTCTGCACTTGGAGGCCCAACAACGTCTACAAGAAGAAGATTGTGTAGTAGACATCAGTAGACGCGAAGGAGGTGATAGACGACATGATGAGGGATGGCAGCGAGCGGCAGACAGGTGATCGGGCGAAGAAGCGGCAGCAGCGATCGGATCATAAGTGGGCGCGGCTAGCGAGATGGGTAGCGAGTTGGGAACCGGGCAAAGCAGCGGCACCCGAGTTGGTTAGCGGGCGCGGCTAGCGAGTTGGGCAGCAGTGAGTCGGGCAAAGCAGTGGCGTGGAGCATCGAGCGCGTGCGGGAGTTGCCGGGCGGCTGGAACAGCACGGGCGCGCGACAGGGAGAGGGATGGGCGGCGGTGGCAGCGGAAGACTAGGGTTAGAACCTAAAAACTGATACCATGTATGAGATTATGATTGCACGATGTATTGCTCTTCATGCATAGGCACATATATATGATGTACAAAGGTGGGCCATGGACCTCAACTATACAAGGAACTAGAAGACGGGCCCAATACACAATATGCACATAACACATATACTCAACACAAATCATGCAAATAAAAATCGTACGCACTATCCTAGCTAATCTTCCTCGTTGGAGATGTCTACGACGTCAGTGCCTGGCGTCGGGTGGACGGGCGTGTAGGAGGGATCCGGCTCATCCTCTTCCTGCTCGACCTCATCCATGTAGGCGAGCATCTCCTTCTCCTCCACGGCGTGCTGCGCATCCGACTCCAACCGGAGGGAATCGAGAATGGCCTGCTGCTCCGCCTGCACATCCGCATCCCCAGCGTCCCCGACATGCTCCTCCTCCGGATCCACTGCATCCAGAGGTAGCCCCGTGGCAATCGAGGCTTCGCGCCTTGCCCGGGTCTGCTCAAGGAGTTGCAGCCGATGCTCCGGCGTTAGAAATGGGTAGCCCCATATCTGGCAGTTTAGAGGCATGGCTACTAGTGGTGGCGGGCGGACGGGGAGTGTAAAGTGGTGGAGGCGGCGGATGGGCGAAGAAAAATGTGGAGGGGTAGGGTTTCGATGTCGGCGGTCAACTTAAATAGCCGGGCTATGCAATACGCGGCCCGCCAGAGCGGCGCCACGCGACGACATTGGTCCGACGGAGAAGACGAGTTTCTGACCGCCGGATTTCCGGGCGATTTCACGTGGGACCCTGACATCAGTCCAATGTGGCGGACGTGCCCAGGCGTCCATATCAGCCTTATTTGGGCTGGATATGAGGGGTACCGGTCAGCCCGGGCGTTTGAGACCCATTTGAGGCGTCCTTTTGGGTTCGTGACTGGTCAGTGGCTGGGTGGCCCGCCCAGACATTTGAGGCGGCTTCGGGGCCTCTGGCTATAGATGCTCTTATCTCTGCTTATTTTTACCGCCCGATTCACGATATGATCACTAACCAGCATTCCGATTTACGAGTACCGGGATGGTACGGCCATTTGTCCCTTATATTTCAACCTTTAGATCTATAAAAATCATGCAAAAAATAATCCTACGTACTATCCTAGCTAATCTTCGTCGTTGGAGATGTCTACGACGTCGGTGCCGGGCGTCGGGTGGACGGGCGTGTAGGAGGGATCAGGCTCATCCTCCTCCTGCTCGACCTCATCCATGTAGACGAGCATCTCCTCCTCCTCCACGCGTGCTGCGCATCCGGCTCCGAGCGGAGGGAATCGAGGATGACTTGCTACTCCGCCAGCAGATCCGCGTCCCCAACGCCACCACATCATCCTCCTCCTCCTACTCCTCAGCCTCCTCCTCCTTCAGATTCACTGCATCCGGAGGTAGCCCCGCGGTGATCCGGGCTTCGCGCCTTGCCCGGGTCTGCTGAAGGAGCTGCAGCCGACACTCCGGCGTTAGAAATGGGTAGCCCCTTATCTGGAAGTGTAGGGGCATGGCTACTAGTGGTGGTGGACGGGGTGTTTAAAGTGGCGGCGGTGGCGAATGCGCGAAGAAAAATGTGGAGGGGTAGGGTGTCGGTGCCGACGGCCAGCTTAAATAGCCTGGCTAGGCACTACGCGGTCCGCCAGAGCGGCCCCACGCGGTGACATCGGTCCGACGAAGAAGACGAGATTCTGACCGCCGGATTTCTGAACGATTTCGTGTGGGACCCCGACGTTAGTCTGATGTCGCGGACGTGTCTGGACGCACATATCTGCCTCATATTTAGGCTGAATATGAGGGGTTGCAGTCAACCTGAGCGTTTGAGACCCATTTGAGACGTCTATCTGGGTTCGTGACTGGATAGTGGCCCGGTGGCCCGCCCGGTCGTTTGAGGCGGCTTTGGGGCCTCTGAGTGTAGATGCTCTTATCTCTCTGCTTGTTTTACCGTCCGATTCACGATATGATCACTGACCAGTGTTCCGATTTACGAGTACGGGGATGGCCCGGCCGTTTGTCCGGAAGCGTCGCAACTTGCAACGGACTGACTGATTGATGCTCGCTGCTAGTTGGTGCCACCTGCACTGCCATGCACGCGACACTCCATCCATCCATGGGGCTCCGCTCGGTGCGTGTGCGCTCGCCCATCCCGGCCGTCGGGCCGTGTCTCGACCGCCGTGCTCGCCCCGGCTGGCGCCAGCGTCCACGGCCGCACACACACAGCCACACCCGCTCGATCGCAGTACGTACGTCCCCCAATGGCCACCACCCAAACAATCTTGCTGCCTGTCACTTGTCACCTTCCAAAATCCAAATAATAGCGACAAGATCCCCTCCTACCCATCAGCTGGCTGCCTCCGACCTATCTACGGCCCCCGATCCAGCAGCGAACAGCGCACAGGCTGCCGCGGCATCCAACGTTTGATCAGCTTCCACTCAGCGCGCGCGCTGCGCCTGCCCGGCAGCACAGCACGTCCATATATACGTGCGCGCGCGCGGCGGGCTCGTGCGTGGGCAGAGCACCGCCTCGCCAGCTTGAGTACTTGACAGTTCACTCTCGCTGCAGCGGAGGATCTTCCCTTCCTTCTTTAGCTGTTGCTTTCTGGAAGTGTGTGCGGTGATGGGGACGCTCCTGGCGCGCGTCGCCGTGGTTGCTCTCGCGGCGGCGGCGGCCGCTGTCGTCGTCGATGGCCAGATGTCGCCGGCGTTCTACGACGCCACGTGCCCGGCGCTGCAGTCCGTCGTGCGCCGCGGCATGGCGCAGGCCGTCCAGAAGGAGGCGCGCATGGGCGCGTCCATCCTCCGCCTCTTCTTCCACGACTGCTTCGTCAATGTACGTTTTGGTTCCGGTCGGTCACAAACTAAATACGCGTCTTATTCTAGTCCTACTCCTGCGAACTGCGTGCTGAGAGGGAATGCGTGCGTGCATGCGCAGGGGTGCGACGCGTCCGTCTTGCTGGACGACACGGCCAACTTCACGGGGGAGAAGAACGCGGGGCCGAACGCCAACTCGTTGCGCGGATACGAGGTCATCGATGCCATCAAGGCGCAGGTCGAGGCTTCCTGCAAGGCCACCGTCTCCTGCGCCGACATCGTCGCGCTCGCCGCCCGCGACGCCGTGAGCCTGGTCGGTACCCACTTCTCTCTCCCTCTCTTTCTGGCATCCTGGCCGGTGGCATTACTAAAGGCGGCCGCGTGCGTGCAGCTCGGGGGGCCGAGCTGGATGGTGCAGCTGGGCCGGCGAGACGGGCGCTCGGCGAGCCAGAACGCGGCGAACACCAACCTGCCGCCGCCGGACGCGAGGCTCGCCGACCTCCTCGCCAGGTTCAGCGACAAGGGCCTGGACGCGCGCGCCCTCACCGCGCTGTCCGGGGCGCACACCGTGGGCTGGGCCCGCTGCACCACCTTCCGCACGCACATCTACAACGACACCGGCAACGCGGCCGTGGACGCCGCCTTCGCCACGCAGATACGCGCCAAGGCCTGCCCTTCCGCCGGCGGCGACGGGAACCTCGCGCCGCTCGAGCTGCGCGCCCCCGCCGCATTCGACAACGGCTACTTCCAGGACCTCGTCGCCCGCCGCGTGCTCCTGCGCTCCGACCAGGAGCTCTACGGGAGCGGCGTCGGCGACGGCAGCACGGACGCGCTCGTGAGAGCCTACGCCGCCAACGCCACGCTCTTCGCGGTAGACTTCGCCGCCGCCATGGTGAGGATGGGCAACCTGGCGCTCACCGGGAAGAACGGCGAAGTCCGGCTAAACTGCCGGAGAGTGAACTGAGCTGAATGAGCAGATGAGCGAATGAATTCCTGATGTACGCATCGAAAAGCATAAAGTGGTTGACGAAGATACAGACGAGCACTGCTGTTCGTGCACTGATTTGGATCGGCACAAAAATGCTATACGTAGATAGGGCAGACAAACTTCCGGGCCGACAGGTCGCTCAGTAATGCTTCGTTACGTATTGTTGATTACGGATCAAGGGCATCTCCACCGCCGAACCTAAAACGGACGCGGATACGTCCAAGAGCGTTCATGCACAGTGATATGAGAGCCCGCCGTCCATTTGTGTAGCTCAAACGTCCGTCAATTTTATGCAAACCGAATGATTTTCATTTAAATCAGGCCATAATAATTACATTTTCAACAATTTAACTAAAAAAAGTGTTTGGAAGTTAACCTAGTCTATTTCTTCGCGGGCGTTTGTCCCTCAAGTCCTTGTTGTTCCCCGTGCCTAGCATCTTCGATGGTCGTGAGCCCCGGGAAGCAAAAGTGCAGTTCTCCGGCGAGGAAGAGTAAGACATGGGATATGGAAGTGCCCACATGGGACACAAACACCTTCGTCTCCTGTGCCCTACTCTTTCTTATCAAAGTCTGCGACTTGGACGCCGCCGGTGGAGGTGAGGTCCATGATTGGACGTGCACGGGCCGATCTCATGGTCGTAGCGACCCGACACTGACAGTGCGAACGACCCGCAACTGCCGACGTTCTGTCTACGATCGCCTGCGCCGCTACCGACCTGTAGTCGACGCGAGCGGACGTGGCCTCGTAAAGCGCTTGCTGCTCGGCGACGAAGTTTGGATTCTCCTTGACCATGGTTGCCACAGCCTCCTCGCTCGTGAACTCGCCGTAGATTTAGTCCCTGCCAGTCAATGATGCGCGAGGAAGGTGATGATGTAGTGCCACTGCTCCTGCGCTTGCCAGAGCGTCGACACCGGGTGCAGTGCCGGCTGCTCCTCCCTCACGACGGTGTTGAAGTGCACATGCGCCTGCTCCGTGGTGAAGCCGACAAGGACAAGCATGGGCAGGGGTGTCGGCTTATCGTCAAACGCCTCCTCCGTTGTGGGGTCGTCCTTCCTCACCTTTGGCAAGCTCGCAAGCTAGACTCTATCTGTCGCGCATGACGGACCTACCACGCAAACACAAGGTCAGCCAATTCGAGCTTCTGCTCATCGAGATGCTCTCTCACATCACTCTAGATCTTGCGACCATGACGGAGGTGGTGTACGGAGGAAGAAAGGGAGCGAACATGGTGTTGTGTAGATGGTACCGGGCTTGGCCACATATAAATAACAGGCGCTGGCCAGACCAAGCGGCGGGGTGTAACAATGCAAGCACCGAAGTTGGTTTCTCGGCCGCCGCACATGTTTACTGCCGGCAGGAGGACAGACATGGCCGCCGTGCATGTTGATCTTGCAAAGGCTGCTTGTATTCGGTTGCAGTCTGGTTGCACGTCCAGGTTTGGACGGGGGAGGCCACAGTTGCCACGACATTGTTACCAACTTGCATGGGGGTTCTCTGACTGGTGGGATTCTTTCATCTCTACTTTGTCTAACAAGGACAAACGTCGCCGCGGCGGTCGCTTCCTCTACACCATCTAGAATGTCTGGAAGGAGCGAAACCGCCCTATCTTCAACGGAACCCGTCTCACCCACTTGGAGGCGGCGACTCTCGCATCCGATGACATCAAGCAAAGGGCTTTGGCCTTGGACAGGGCACAAGTGGCGACAGTTGTTGGCTGATCCGTAATACGTTTTTGGTTTTTGGGTTTGCCCGGTTCTCTGCAAAAGCCAGGCACCTCTGTACATTAACATTTTTGTCGTTTGAAATGAAAAGGCAGTGCTCCTGTCGGTTCCTTAAAAAAAGAAGTGGGCGGTGGTGTGTGTGTGTAGGGGTGCGGGGAGTGGGGATGGTCGCCGCCGCGGTTGCTGACGGTGCAAGAGAAAGAACGGTGAGAGGGTGCCTAAGGTTGCCATGAGTGGCGAAGGAAGAAATGACAGAGGAGGGAGGGTGGTTGCTATCGTTGTCAATGACGAGATAGCGAGATTATTGAGCCTATGTATAAGGCTGGTTGTAATAGGAAGTATCATATGCATGATTCTAGTGTATGATATTACCTTCATAATGCATAATACTCCCTCTGTAAACTAATATAAAAGCGTTTAGATCAATATTTTAATATTTTAAACGCTCTTATATTAGTTTACGGAGGGAGTATCATATATTAGTGTTATGTAGTACTTTATTTATTGCCATGCTTGACACATAGTAGTATAACATTTATTATGATACTGTATCATGATATGATACTCAACCATCTCTTTCTTCATTTAATTTTATGACATCTCATCAAACTTGCCTACTTGAAAGTATGATACTAGCTATGCTACTATCATTACAACCAGTCTAAGGGATAAAAGCACCACATTAACGAGCGTTTGCGGATAAAATCCACTGACAAAATTCCCCATTGCAGTTGGGCTTAATTCCTCGGCCATGCTCGGACAATAAGTCAGGGTCACTACAAGCTGACTTCACCACTAATCTCGATTAACTTTAAAAAAGGGTCAAAACATTTATCGCGCAAGAGCATAGCAGTCGGGTTGGTACGGAAAAAGGGGAAGATACTTGTTGCCGCCTCCGCCATCATCACACGTTGGCAGTTGGCACTTGTACGCGTATGCGTAAGCAGAGTCATCACTAGATAAAATCACCGCCTCGTCGGCGCTATACTTACTTGTACGTACTGGTACTAGCGATCGAATGAATCCAGGTTAGTAGTGTGATCGGGAGCGAGGGGACATGACATGAGCGAGGAATGTGGCCACGGTCCAGAGGGATACATATTATTGGACCACATGCTTTTGTAAAAGGCTAATTATCACACTGCGTACAAATCAGAGAGATTCATATCGTTCTCATCATTGCACACTAAGCATCTCGAGAAAAGGGAAAAAGCTTATTGTCTGACAAATCTTATCAGGATGCCCGGGCTGGCTGTCTCGTGAAAATGAACAAAACTGACTTTTTTGAAAGTTCAACACAAAATGCATCCGATCTAAAAATATTTCACAAAATGACTCCCTTTTGCATGACGCCCCAGCCTAGGGTGCCATGATTGCGACATGTAGCATGGCGCCCCGGGCTAGGGCGTCATGCCAAATAGCACGACGCTTTAGCCCGGGATGTCATGCTATCTAGCATGGCGCCCCAACCTCGCGCGTCATTTAAAAGGGCCATTTCATGAAATATTCTCAAACTGAGGCCATTTCGTGTTGAAGTTTTGGAAAAGGATCGGTTTTATTCATTTTCATGGTTGTCTCTAATCGAATGTACTGCTAGGGGTCCTCTACATGATGATAGGAGGATGGATATCTACCATGCACGGGAGTTCACGGAGTCCCGTGAGCCAATAGCACGTATCCACATCGCTACAGATACCAAGCTCCCTTGAAATGGAGCGATCTGGTGCATCAGGGGTGTTTAAGGCGGTATGTGGGCCCTGTTTTGGGTCTGGTCGGTTGTAAATGGGCTTTTGACTCCTGGCGTGCAAGGCCTCGTTTACCTTACATGTCGCTGGTTCCTCCTATTCTGCCGTTCCCTCCGGCGATTGCATAGGTGGTGGTGGCGGCGGCTGTGCGGGCTTGCCCTCTTCTTCGATTTGCAGAGAGGGGCGGCGGTGTTCTTGCTGCTGCTTGTGTTGTCCCCGGAGTCTTCTTCCTCGCATCGGCGTCTCTGATCTGCTGGGTGGGTGGTGGGCGGCTCCTCCCTCTGCCGTTGTCATTCCCCTTCACTCCTGTCATTCCCCTCCACCCCTCATAAGGGGACCGAGCAGGAGCAGCAGCTGCGCTGTGCTGCTGATCGCGGAGCACCGAGCAGGAGCAGCGCAGGCAGTAGATCCCCTCTGTTTAGGTGTTGTCAAGCACCAAGCTGACCTCACCAACTCCTCCCACTGCCCTTCTTTCAGGTGAAGCTCTCCTCTGTTCCCGATCTTTCTTGCCACCGACCTCTGCTCAGATTGCTTGTTGTCACTTTGTTGGTCATGTAGATGATAAATGGTAAAACATTGCTGAGATGTGAGATTGTTATGTGATCTAGCTCTGAGATTGTTGTGAGATTGTTCAGCGATCATCTGAGAGATTGTTGAGATGTTCATATTTGTGAGGCTAGATTTCTTGTGAGTTTTGATAGATTATTGTGAGATTGCAATACGATCTATGTGACATGCTATTTATTTGAGAAAATGTTGATGATATCCGTATGTAAGGCAATGATCTTCCTTTTGTTTGACTATACTATTTCATGGTGTTCGAAAATAGATTTATTTAATCATTATGCGGCGGTTGCCAACAGGCAGGATTGGGATGATGGTGAGATGTCACGCGAAAAGGGTATCAAGTTGTGTGATGCAGTCGCTCGATTATTTTCGGTGTATTCACTACAAGGGTTTTCACCCTCAAAGAACATCACCTCGCTTTGCTAATCATGGTAGGGTTTTCATGCCCTAACGGCACGGGCGGCCATGCCTACTGCAATCACTAAAAGAATCACGGCAGGGTTGATATACATCAATTTCATTTTCTTGTCATATGATTAGTCCGAGTTTGTTTTGATATTCTGTTTTCCTTCTATACATATATTGAAAATGGCATGATCGATGACTGGCCTTCCTTCAAATCTAATACACTTCTAATATAACTATCTTGATGCACTTTTAGGAATAACTGAAGGAAATATGCCCTAGAGGCAATAATAAAGTTGTTATTTTATATTTCCTTATATCATGATAAATGTTTATTATTCATGCTAGAATTGTATAGTGTGAATACATAGACAAAACACAGTGTCCCTAGTAAGCCTCTACTAGACTAGCTCGTTAATCAAAGATGGTTAAGTTTCCTAACCATAGACATGTGTTGTCATTTGATGAATGGGAACACATCATTAGGAGAATGATGTGATGGATAAGAGCCATACATTAGCTTAGCATTATGATCGT